TAAACATAAATAAGGTGTGTTTCCTTGCATGCGAGTATAAATAGCCAATCAAAACGCTCTTAAACAGGGTTGGGCAGTGAGCGTATCAAACTACCACAAGAACACAATAATAGAAGAAATCTGAGCCCTAATGTATTAAGAACCTAAAAATGATAAATTTGGTTATATCCAATTTTTACGGAAAATACAGTATGTCGTTTATAATAGTTAATAAAATAAAACATCAAAATGATCCAAAGTGGAGAATAATATAATTTATGCTATCTAAAGTAAGATCTTTATTAGGGGCTGTCCATTAATTACGTAAAGACCTGGGGGAAGAGGGGGGATGTTATTTATTTACTATTGATTAAATGGTGGCGAGAAGTATTTAAATATTACGTAATCCAATTTAACACCTACTATAATAAATTTTATCTTTCCCTCCTTCCATACTTTCTCATAGTTGACACCCGACAACTAGTTGATCTTATTTGTATCGACACAACAGTGGTTACTTCTGCTATGAGCGCGATGCAACAGATACGTAAACTCATTTGCTCATTTACTGATATTTAAATAGTATTCATTATTACCAAAGTATTCTTACGAATTAACATACATACATAAAAATGCAATATAATACATGTAGCATATTAAAATAACGAAGACAATCGCGTGTTAACCCTAATTTTATCTTTTTAATAATTTTAATACTCTTAGATATCTTTTTAAATTAAAATCATTTTTACCTTTACTATATATTCTCTTAACTAAATAGATATGGGGGAGTTTCCCAAATGTTACTGTAGTTTACATAGGGCCGATGGGAGGTGTCAAAAAGAAGAAAAAATGTGTACACGTAATTAATGGATAGCACCTTATTAAATGAAAATTTATCATTTAAATAATTTACAAAAATCGTCTTTAGGAAATTGAAAACTTATGATAAAAACCGTAATAAGTTAAACAATTAAAAATTTTTTTTAAGTGGTAGTAGGAAAATGGAAACAAACAATAATGAGGCCTGTTGCATAAAAATCAGCTATCGGGATCCCAAGATATGACTGAGTATAAACATGCACATATACATAAACGCACGTACATATTTGGAACTAGCTGGGGAGCTATCCTTAGTTGAGGTTGAGGAGGCCGGAGGAGTTGGCAGGGCGAGAAATGATGACTCGCCTGTGTGATTACAAGAATAGGAACCTTTATTAGTCTCAATGTACAAGCAACTATTGTGTTGCTGACTAGGAGCGCGAGTGTCTCGTGTAGAGGATTGTGCGTTACTAGCGAGACCACGCTAGTACGCCACACTTAGGTGGCTGAGAGAATCGTAGTAGTCGGAGTGACCAGTGGTGGCAGCACTGCACGGTGGTGCTGCTGCGAAGACTTGACGTGGGACTAGCTGTTGCTTGCGTCGATTTCGTTTGTTCCCCGTGTCGTTGGACGGTGGGGCCACACATATACACAAATACACGGACGGCCGGACGGACAGACAGTTTTGCCACAGAACTCTATATTAATTATAGACCCAAAAAAGCAAGTATTACACGTAATCTCTAAATGTGATTTATCGTCCATAACAAAGCCTATTTAATAAAGATGATTAAAATCTGACAAGGACATCTGACATAGGTCCGATTTTTAAGGAAAAACTTAGTATTTCATCAATAATAGCCGAACAAAAAAGGTATTATTATGATCCAAAGTAAGAATTGAAGCTTTCAATATGGCTAAAATAGTATAAACATTTTTGAAGCTAAATAAAATTTTTATTCAAAAGATTATAAAGAAACGCTTTTTAGAAAATCTAAGAATAGCAATAACCAGCTTAATGAAATATATAACTTTAATGTAACTTTTCAGCTACTATACAGACACAAATTTAAAAAACGTAAGCCCTGAATTATTGAAATGACTGATTTTTATCGAAAATTTAATTTAATATACTAAATTGCTTCACCCCCTGCGCAATTCGTGCGACAATCTTCAACTGTTCGTCAAATTCTAGTTTATTCTTATTTTCCGAAAAAAAAAAATAAATTTTTCTTGTTAAAATAGGAGTCTTTAACAAAAATATAACAAAATAGTAAATTNGGACGTGTAACGTACGAAAGTATAGATGAGATTCGACGCTCCCTCTCCTCAAACCTCATAACGAGGTGCCCTTGGGCCAAGGGAAGCGAAGTGCGAGCAAGAAAAGAGTCTATTCGGGGAGTACCAGATAAGCCTTTGAAGGGAACACACGTGCTATCTTGCCTATGATTACGATATCTTGAATAAAAGTCCTTGAAATAATAAGTGTTGATCATTCTCGCGAAGCACCTCCTTACCAATATCTTCCCTACGTTACAAATAAAAAAAAATCACTATAATGATTTTATTAAAAGGTATAAAACATAAATTTTTTTTCCAGCGGTGATACGAATTTCAAGACCATAAAAAATAAGTACCGATTCCTACAAATTAGTTGCCAGGATTCTGAGATATGATACTGATTACGTACATCCATACATGCACACACCCACACAGACATACACACGATTCACCGGACTACTTAGATCTATTATAAACCCTCGAAGATGTAATTAAAAAAAAACAACCTCTAATTGTCAGTTTTCGTCCATCACAAAGCTTCTTCTATGAGAAAGCAAGACTGCATAAGAGAAACATCAACATAAATAAACGTAAATGAAAACAAAAAGAAATGAATTGAAAAACGCGAGTCATCATAAGAAATAGTTATTTAATAATTTTGATGAAAGAACATGAAGTACCGATTTTTCCTGAGGGGTTGGCACGCAGAGAAGTCCTGCTAGTATATGTATATTCACGAAAAAAACAAGTAAGTGATCGGTGTGCATATTGAATACAAGTCCCACTGAGGCTTAAAAATACAAGTCCTGATGAGCAAAAAACTTTCTTTTAAAATATGAATGCGTGCTCTACAAAGTAATTCAAGACGACGAAGACATCTTCAAAATTTTTATTTTTATTTTTGCCTAGTACAATTTGCAAGTCTTATTTAATTTAAAAAATACAAGTGTCCCAGAATAACGAAACTGTATTGTAAAAGTAACTTGCATTATAATTCTGAGCAACTATTTGGAACGAAAACAAATAATGTCAGCCCTGAAATATTGAAATAGACAATAGTCTGTCTTCAATTCTATATTATGTCACCATGTGGTCATTACTCGTAATTGTTATAAAACAATAGAATACTTAAGAAGTACAATTTGTCAGCGTAAAGAGTTAATAACTCACCAATGCAGAAATCTCACCTGTTGAATAGCGCGCACCTGCGTCTTCAAAACAATGACTGATGTTTGCGGTAGAAAATCTCATGCAAACTTGTAAGAAAAATTTTATGTTACACACAATAAACTGTTTAAGTATGTCTCATAAACTATAGTAGACGTACCTCTTCTTTTAGTAATGAAGGAGTTATAAATATCACAATTTCTGAATCTATAATAGAGAAAAGTCCTCACTGCGTTCGTAACAAAAAAATTTTGTCGCAAAACTAATACTTAGCTTCCTCAAAAAAGCGCAGGATACCGCGATTCTGACAAAGTACCGGGATAAACATAAATAAGGTGTGTTTCCTTGCATGCGAGTATAAATAGCCAATCAAAACGCTCTTAAACAGGGTTGGGCAGTGAGCGCGCGCGCGCGCGCGTTTAAAAATATAAATTCAAAAAGCGTATATATTGTCACTTGTAGTATCGCAAAGAAATAGTATGAGAATAATTTGAGGCAATACAGTGCAACATGTACGAAAATAGTGATAATAAACGTAAATTAAAAAAAAACGTGTCGTAAGGGCCTTGATATTCAAAACTGAGTACCAACACTTAGAAGAAAATTTTTATTGCGAGAAGTAAATATCAAACTAAGTGAATAAAATAAAACAAAAAAAAAACCAATACTTTGTTGAAAGTAAATAAGAGTTCAGACGAGTTAATTTTTTTTAAATCCATGGTTAATGACGATCTCGCTTTTTGTAAAGATCCGTTTATCAATTTCCGAAATTTCCAATTACCTGTTTTAAGTGTCAAAATGCTGTGGTCAGTGGTCACTACTTCTAAAATTGATTGCTTAGAATAACAATTTTAATTTTATCGTAAGTGTATGCAATGCTATCTTATTAAAGACTTTTCAAAAGATATTTAAATATGAAGGTCGTTAAACAATTTGTGAAGGACAAAAGTGTATAAAGAAAACAAATGGTTTAACGTCACAAATTGATATGACCTGTGAAGGTATGTTTTCAATGCAGGATAATGAAGGCTCACATGGTTAAAAAATCAAAACACCACGCTATATGTGGCGTCTCACTTCTCTCGCGCTTCAGGCTCCACTCGCTAGGTGTAACACCTACTATAATAAATTTTATCTTTCCCTCCTTCCATACTTTCTCATAGTTGACACCCGACAACTAGTTGATCTTATTTGTATCGACACAACAGTGGTTACTTCTGCTATGAGCGCGATGCAACAGATACGTAAACTCATTTGCTCATTTACTGATATTTAAATAGTATTCATTATTACCAAAGTATTCTTACGAATTAACATACATACATAAAAATGCAATATAATACATGTAGCATATTAAAATAACGAAGACAATCGCGTGTTAACCCTAATTTTATCTTTTTAATAATTTTAATACTCTTAGATATCTTTTTAAATTAAAATCATTTTTACCTTTACTATATATTCTCTTAACTAAATAGATATGGGGGAGTTTCCCAAATGTTACTGTAGTTTACATAGGGCCGATGGGAGGTGTCAAAAAGAAGAAAAAATGTGTACACGTAATTAATGGATAGCACCTTATTAAATGAAAATTTATCATTTAAATAATTTACAAAAATCGTCTTTAGGAAATTGAAAACTTATGATAAAAACCGTAATAAGTTAAACAATTAAAAATTTTTTTTAAGTGGTAGTAGGAAAATGGAAACAAACAATANAAAAATTAAAAAAAAAAAAAAACTCACTTGCAAGGCTTGTCGATGGACTTACGAAAATCGGCTTCGTTACCAGTTACCGAATCATCATACACACTTCTCTCGCGAAAACAAACAAGACAGATGCGCAAATGACCCGTATTGGTCTCATATTCTGAACACGACTTGTAATCTCCATCGCGCGATGTTGAGGATGTCCTCTGATGTTTTGTCTTGTCTTTTGGCAAAGTAAGCTGATTACTCGTGCTGTGAATCTCAGATGCAAAACTTTCAGTTATATTGAGCTTGGTAAACCTGGCAGTGACAGCTTCTTCCGAACAGGCGTGTCCTCCTTCTTCCAGAACGATGGCTGGTATCGGTGATGCACAACGCTCAGAGTCACTCGCTACCTTAGGTTTTTCCACTTGGAGAAGCCAATTCACATACCTTCAGTAGCTGGATAGTATGCTGGCTGAACCTCTGCGAACTAGGTATATGACTAGGAGTGTCACCTTTGTCAGGCAAATACAGTCTTCAAGACTAACAGTCCGTAGCAGCACTCTCCAATTGACTTCTCTGCCTTCTTATGACAGTCAACACGTCAGGCAGCTCAGGTCTGCCATCGCTCAAACTTCTCTCATGTCGAGCTTGCTACCACAATAACCACTGCTGATGCTGGACAGTATTTGGTTTGAATTAGGCATTTTTAAAGATGAGATCTGGAAGGGATAAATTGTTAGGAACTGTTGCTGGCTGTACTGCAGTGATAAGTATGCGATAAACAGATCCCTTATCTACATTTGTTTTATAGCAAGCTCGAATACTGTAAATGAAAGAAGATAATTGATTTAATAATTGCTTCAACTTTAATTGTTTATACAATATCGACGTTCTTACCTTGTGTAATGAACACCTTCTGGCAGTAAACCAGCATCCATTCTAATGCCTAGGGCACTTTTGACAAGTGCATCAAATCAATGTGAGTTGGAAAATTAACCCAAGTCACATGGCTTACCAGAGTAAATGCATCATTCAAATTGATTTTTAAGAAGGCATCTGTAACGTGAAGCAACAATTAGTATTATAATTTAACAAAGCTTGTCTAAACATTTGGATGTAATATTGCAAGTGTCTTTAAATCACTAAGCTAAATTACTTTAAAATAGAACCATATACTCAAAATACGCACCTGATGTATGTGTTTTCAGTAAAAAATAACACCTGATCAAATCTCTGTTGTTTATATTCTAAGGATGCGTCCAGACGCAACGTCAATAGCAATCTGCAAAACCATTTGAATGCACTCGTCTGCTGAAATGCTAGGGATTTTTCCGCGACCTCGGGCTTGGGCATGTCTGACCAAACTAGGCCTTACTCCAGTAAATTTATGGTTTGAGTTTTTATATTATAAGGAAAGAAATATTTTTGAATATTGTTATAACAATCTATTCAGCATAAAAATATACAAAAAATTTTTAATTACAAATAATTGTTAGGTCAATTATGTTATAATAAAAAATTAGTTTCGTAGGAATCCACATCTACGTCTACTTTTGACTCTGAGGCAGAGGAACTGTTCAAACTTTCTGGCTCTTGTTCTTCGTTATGTACAGATGGAGCTGATAATAAATTGATTGTATCAGGTGATAAAAACTTAAGTGGTTTTACTGGTAATTTTTGGCCAGTAGAAATGTAAGGATCGGATGAAATCAGAAATCTTTTGAAAACGTCCTCCATCGTTTTTTGCCGATAGTTTTTTCTTGCATAAGCAACGCGGTAAATGTTGAAAAATTTGACATGCCTCTTGGACATTTAGCCTATGGGTAGTATTAACTGTTTAACGATGTCTGAGCCGTGAATTAGAAGTCTCAGATAAAAGAGAAACGCACCATGTGTATATTTCGTTTCTCTCTCTCTCACTCGCTCTCTATCAATTTGATTTCGAAAAAAGGGCATAAAAGATGAATAGGCAGCTTTTGGCAGCTAAAACTTGTTTTATTTGGTAGATAATATATTTAATTATCATTTCAATAAGGTTTCAAAGCAGCGTTATTTTGCAGCGTTTCAATGCAGTATCATTTGAAAAGTCTAATTTTCGGAAAAATTATGTGAAAAAATGACACTATTGCTTATGTTTTCCCTAATTCACTACTGAACAATTGATAATTAGTACTTTTTTTTACTTGTTCTACTCACCTTCAGAAGTGGATTCCATTTGGTCTTATTTGATTTTCTTTATTACGTAAAATTTTTCACCTGTACAACCGTTCTCAGTGTATTAACTGTAGAGTGACGCTCGAGCGAAGGCCACATTTCAACTAAACCTAAGAAAGGGGCATGACGAATTAGTCATCACTATGAACGATTTTAGTTTCTTGAAGGATCATTGCAGCCAACTCAAGTGTGAAAAACCCTAAATAGAACTTATTTTATTGGACT